GCCATCTTATGAAGGAAAAAAAGTTGACAAATTTAGAAATTCTTTCCAGTATTTCTTTTTCTTGGTAATAAGAGAAACATAAAGAGGTACCCCAAATATATGTTTCGATCAGTCCTATCTTCCCACAGGAAAGCATAAGGATTGTTACACATATGCCTCACAATTTCTTCCTTAATGATTAGAAAATATAGAGTGCGTGCACTGATATATATGAATGATTCTGATTCACGATCTGCTCCTGGAAACTTTTTGTATTATTGAGATAACTTATCAATAATTCATTAGAATGTCAAAGATTTTCACAAAACAAACAAGGAAAGGAAGGAAAACAGCGCGTCAACATCAATGCTTTAATCCCCTTGACATTTTATACTTTAAGTATCCATGGATTTTTCAAACATATTATTTTTGGTTTGAAGGATATCATTTTGATACTCGTATTTACGAAACATCTATGGATGAACATGATAAATTCTGATTTTAATAATTGTTTTCTATTAGGCAACGGGAATACGATGGAATAGGACAATATAAAAACAACTTACTAATTATTCAACTAACTATAAACAGTAAGCGAAACAGCATCCAGCGACAAAAATGAATTCCAAAAACCACGAGATCATGATAACATGAGAAGAGATCCTACTTCACTCGAGAACTAACGGACTCTAAAGAAGCAAAATACATATGTATACGTATATTAATATACCAACAGCATAGAGTTGCCAGCAAATATAACAATAAATCAGGATTCTCTTATTTATTACCCAAAGCAATAGTATCTAAAATTAAAATGATGAGAAAAAAACGAGAAAGACAGTCGTTATACGTCTGATCAAGCTCTCCAAACTTACAGATTTTGTAGAGGGCCTCGTGCAAACTATCCAAATCAAAAGATTCTACTGCGTCCTGCGAGGTAAGCAATCCAGAAACCCAACCTATATATCTTTTACCAATACGAGATGAAAATGAATAACCTATAGACAATGTCAAATTGTTGCAAAACATATCTATGCCACAGTCTTCACCTTAGATAGGATACGGTGTGAGTATGTGCAAACGCACTGAAGGCTTATTGATATACCTAACGTATTAACATGTCCCCATACCAAAGAAATTGATAGCATCATTCATTTGTCGTAAGTACATACGACAACGGTGACAAAATGGCCGTGCCAAAAATGAGGAAAAATTGAGAATGAAGACTGAATTCTTAAGATCGAAAATTTAGGAGAAAGAGAAGGAATAACTGGTTTGGTTTTGTTCTCTCTATTCCAAACTACAACTTCTATGATAAAAATACAATCCATTTGTCCAATTAAAATCAGCGACATTCTATGTGACATAGCAAGCAATAAAAGGAGGTATGATTACAATGAAATGATATTTCTAATCTTCTAATATTCCTTATTATTAAGCAGCTCTTTTCTTGTCTATCAAAAAAGGTCAATCACTATTCAATCATTACTATTAGTCTTGAAAAAAACCTCTATTTTTAATAAGGCTTATTCCATATTCTCCAATGGGATTGTTTGAAAAAATCAACATTTCGTATTTTTTTAATAATATTCAAAGAACAAATATTATTTGCTCCTTGATATCAATTGAATCATTATTTATTTTCGACAGTTTACCGTTTTCAGAACTATGGCAAGACATCCTACAACTTATTTCTCTTAGGTCCATTGAATACTTTCAACAAGTTACTTACAGTATAACATAAACTATGAAAGATGTGGCGAAATCGCAATCAAAACTCAATATAGAAATGAAAAAAATGAAAGCGCATCAACATACACACATTCTAGAATTAAATCAATTCAGTAACGGTGTCGCCGATGATGTAATGAGACCGGAAGTGATGCTAGATGATGTCATCCCAGATCCCGATGTAGTAGCACTAGGTGATGTCATATGTGCTTCGCGACGAACCATGCTGGTAGAGAAACCCGGCAAATTCGGAAAACGGATACCTATTTCGCGTGCTTTGACCGATACCTAAAATACATATCTTTTGTAATTTTCATCCACTTCTTTTTACGCAATCAGTTAATGAACAATTGATCAGTTCGTTTACATCATATTACGTTACTGAAACGGCTATATAATTCGGCTTATTATCTGGCTAACGAAAATTATAATTTACCATCATCTTTCTACCAAAGAATGATAAATTAAAATTTTCTGAAATTCTGAGTTTTTCATCAGCTCTCTTTTTCTCACAAGTCGGACACAAGCACAAACTTCTTTTCTATCCTCCCTTTGAACTTCCGAATTCGAAAAATCAAATGCTGCTGGAGAAAGGAATGTTATGAAATCAAACAAAGAACAATTTAAATTAGAAAGTTGTAAGTGAAGAAAATAAAGTCTCGAATAAAGCACAAAACATAAAAAATGAAAGAGAATGGAGGGAAAGTTTGATTTGTATTTATTTGTTGTCAAAGTATTTAAAACCCATTAAGTATTCGATCTGATTCATCATGTTTTTCGAATGATTAAAGATTAAACTGTACGAATATTCGAAGATCAAAGGGAGCCAGAACGAAAGATATCACGCACAGATTCAACACAGGTGTGTTATACCAATTACCTGGTAATAAAGTAAGAGAATGAGTAAATTAAATGTAAGGTGTCATCTCAGTTCTACTGTAGTTACTTTTAACAAATCTTACACAAAATGAAAAGTGTGAAGTGTGGATTAATTTTTAAAAAAATTGGGTAAGAAATAAATAGAAGCAAGCAAAGGCTAATTAATACGTACATGCTTTGGTGTAATCAATCTTCCAGCCACTGAAGGTGACAGGGAAGAAGAGTTAAGGAAAATGAGGATTCACTGAGTAACACGACCGAATACTGCTCCAGCTAAAGGACATGGTGTTAATGGTGGCGATAACGATGATGATGGTGGCGGTGGTGACAGTGGATTTGGTGCCCATATTCATCGGAGCAGTGGAAATAGCAGTGGCTGCAGAGGCAGTGATAACATTAATCATAACATTACGACGGTTCCTGTGGCGGTACCACTAGTGATACGCGTGCCGCGTGAAATCTTCCGTGATGCTTTACGTGCGATCAACGTTGAGAATGGTGCAGTTCTCTAAAAAACAAAGTGGAAAAAAACAAATAGAAATGATACAAAATAAAACAAAACAAAGAAGGAAAAAACTAAATGAAAAAAAAGTAACAAAAAAATCAGCAAAGATAATCAAGAAGTCATTAAAATGATAAGTATAAAATCATTTGGTTAACGAAACAAAGCATCGCCAGTGTATTGCTTTGATTGAAAAAGATATTCGGTATCAGCAGATAGATAGATTATCGCCCTTCCTCCAATCTGAATGCATGCTGACCGCCGACCTCCACTCTTCGTCACTGTATTTTAGTAACACAAAATATCATTAAGTTTATAAGTCTAACCTTAAAACCTTAATGAAATTAATAAATGAATTGAACTTATCACATTCCACTTTAAAGATAAAGATGTTTCTGTGCTTATGAAACGGAGAATATGTTTGAGAAGGTTAAAAATAAACATACTTTGCTCACAAGTTACTGGAAGTCAAATAGAAAAGCAATTAATGAGTATCAATCAATGTCAAACAAGCTTGCTTCTGCATGTTAATCATTAACAGTAGAAAAATAATTAACATAAATGTCAAATCAAAAAACAAATAGTGAGGAAGTTCGAGGGTCACGTGATTAAGATATCTATAACAACGTTAACTGAAAATTATATTAAGAATTCTGTACAGAACTACATTTTAAACGTGCATTTTACTAAAGAAAAAGGAAAAACTATGCAAGTCTAAGTAAACATCTATAAGTAAGAAACAAAATGATATAAAATGAAAGACAAATGGATGGAATAACATTTCTCTCCTTTCCAATAGCAAAATTTTTCTCAGTTTCAATTTATGTAGCTAAAAAACTCATTTTGACAGAATGTATAAAGAAAGTTTAAATAGAAATGCATCAGAATTTCCGAGTGGATATTCAATATAAAAAAACACACAAAAGCTCGCTTATTTGAAAACATGATCCAAAAAAATTAATCAACTAAGGCTATTGGTAAAACAAAAGGAATATAACAAAAGACCTCGAAGTTGATATTTAGACGAAAAACAAGCAAGGATCAGAAACAAAGAAAATAGTTTTTGAATTTCATTATTTTCAAGTAACAATTGAGCTGTCAAATCAATCAGCTGAAATTTATTTCTATCTTATTAATAGATACTAAAAATTTGAAACAAACAAAATTATATTCGTGACCTTCTCGCTTTCTATACTATTATTTTCAGGGGGCACAACAAGATCATCCACATAAAACTTTTTTTCGCGCTCTAAAACCAAAATTACCTTTTTCTTCGATTGGTTGAGCAATTCTCTATAATTTTCGGAACGCAAAAATCGTTGATAACTGTCATTTTTCATCAAGCAAAAGATATGGTCCTGAAAATTACAACGATCACTATGAATCTCATTCGTTGGATACTAATAATGTATGGCGGCAACTACGACATATATTATATCAAGCAATTATATCACGGTAAATAGTATTGCTGAAATTCCCGCGTGTTCAGCCATATGATGCTTGGGGGCAAAAACAAATTTTTCCTGATCTTTTCCTGATGATTTTCCTTTATCCTGATCCTGATCTTTTTCCAAAATGTAATTTGCAACAAAACCTTGAGCCGGTGTATAGCGGAGATCCGAATAAATGTTGAACATTCTCTTTTCGAATGAAAAATTACTGAATTTTTACTCGTAGTTTGTAGCTTACTTAATGAGCTGTATAAATATCTTCGTGAAATATTAAATTCCACAATAACATGATTAAATGAAAAAAAGGCAGAATTCTTACCGCAGCTTCATCAAATGACCAACGGTTCGGATTTTTCAAATTTTCTTCCGTCTGATCCATCACTTTACAGTCGATATTAACCGGTGATGTTGCATTTTTATCAATGAATTCATTGTATATTTCAGTTACTAACACAGGTACCATGCGACTTGCACATTTCCGTAATTTTTGAACCTGAGCGAAAAAACCTTACGAGCACTAGTTTACTGATAAATTAAGATAATTTTTAATAAATTAAGAGACACTATCAGTTTATAGTTTTCCAATAATCTTTCTCACTATCTTACTAAATATTAAAGAAACTGGTTATATGTTTATTATTCTACCCATTCTAGTGTCCAGAAATATGCGGTTTTCTCATTAATCCTCCAGGATATGAACTTGAAAACTCTCACATCATATCATCAGTCATCACATGGTAATCAATGTAATATCGATAAAAGCATAATAAATGAAATTAAGTGTGAATATATTTTCCCAGGAGTAAAAAACAATTCTGAAAACGATAGCTTACCTGCCACCAAAAGCGTAAGTTTTCTCCAGAATACTCCTTGTCTGAGAATTTTTGTAACGTTTCTCTACCTATTTCATCGCATAATAATTCTTCAAAGCTTTCTTCCCATAATTTCAAACGACGCATTGATATATCACCAGTGCTGAAGAATGAAAAACATACCATTATTGTAGTACTGTGAATATTTCCTTTAATCAGTCAACAAATGCAAAAATTTTCTCATTTTAGTAGTGAGGTAACATTAACAGAGGAAATTAAAACTTAAATGATAAATGTTTATTAAATTATAAAAAAAGTATGAGTTACCTACTCAATTATTTCAAACAACCTATCGCTTAATGATTCAGTTTTCAAATTCACCTAAAACGTTTCACTATGCTAATGCAATGCTTTCTCTTTTATTCTATTTTATTTTCTTACAACATTTTCGTACATTTTATCATGTTGCCAATAATCAACGGTGTCGGAAATCCACGGGTTTGCATGACTCTGGAATGGATCAACCGCCGTGCCACACTGGGTTAGAAATGGATCGAAAACACGACGATGATCGAAGTATTGCAAATAACTGAAGGGAAACACGCAAAAATAGTCAAATCAATTTATTTGCTTCAACCGCAACTTTTGCCGCATTCTATATGTCAAGTAGAATTAAAGATCAAGACATAAAATAGATAAAGAAACCTTAACACTTACCATTCAATACTAACCCATGAAACTATCGTTCAAATCAAATTTAAAAAAAAAAACAAATTGAGTGTATTTGAAAAAAGATTTCAAAGCCTGCTGAAAAACTGCCCAAGTGAAGCTGAAAATCTTTAAATTTTCAATCTATGCAAATGGAGTAAAGCAAAAAACTTACTTCTCGACAACCTTAGATGTTTTGAGAACGTTCTTCGTTAGCCGTGCTTCCAAAGCACTAATCTGAAAATAAAACCAAAATATCTGAGAAAGCACAAAGACAGCTTTTCTGAAATACAGAGTAGTGTAAAAGACCTTTTCGGCGTTTCAGTAATTTTAATACTAAAAGATGAACTGTAATGAAAACGAAGTTCTGGCAGCTTACAAAAAATAAGAAAATAAAATGAAGCTGAAGCGTGGCTTATGTCTAAACGAAAAATCGGCAGAAAGTTGATCATATTCCGTATTTGTAAAAATTGATTAAAACTTAATTTCTACCTTGATTTGAAACAAAATATTCTAATTCTGAAGTAGTCTACATCGATTATAAAAATATTCACTTTATCACAAAATATCTTTCATAAAGCAGAAATCGCAGACCTCCTGCTTTAATGTATCTTGCACTCGAGTACACCGTCTAATACCAGGTCTCTGGCTATAGTGTCGCACTAATGATGACGGTGATACATAGGATGATGATGCCTGCTGACTTATTACGGAGGACGATGCATTGTCACCCGCACCATTTAAAATGGAACTTGAGCAAGAAGGCGTTTGTGCAGCTGCATGTGCAGCTGCCGCTGAAGTCGAATACGGTAAAGTGATATTCGAACATGATGCGACAGCAGCGTGAGTAGATGAACTATATTTCGGTCGCCCTATAATTAACTTCCATAACTTCTATTAATGTTCAAAATTTTTTTGTGACTATAGCAAAAACAATCAA